AGATAGCGTACTTAACGCTGTTGAATAATTTCCACACAACCACGAAACCCAATTGAAATTAGAGCCCAGTCACAGAGCCACAGTTTCAGCGTCCAGAGCTGGCCACCACATGTCGCCGCTGACTCTGCCACTAACAACCTGCCGCCTCTGTCCCTCCGAAGAGATCTGATGTAAGCCAAGTGCATTTTCATTTCCATTTCCTTGCCTTCTCTCCATCTATCTGCGTGTTGCTGTGTTTGTATCTGTATCTGTACCTGTGTGCTACTCATAATGCGGAAGATTGCACCAAGTTCACTTGGTTTCTTTCCTTTCCGTTCCGTTCGGCTCTGTGTCTGTCTCCGTCTCTGCCGCCTCTGCCGTCTCTGCCGTCTCTGCCGTCTCCGTGGTTTATCTACTCTCTGAGATCTCAGATCTTGAGGTTTCTGCGTTCTGTACTTTGGCTGGCAAGTTTTTAACACAATTTAGCGGCGTTTCAGCTAAGAAAGTGAGGAAGGGAACTGGATCGGGGATGGGAAGGGCTTCAGTAGAGTGTCAGAGGGTGCCAGAGCCCCATAACGGGCTTTGTCTTTGGTTACCCATAGCCTGCCTGCTACTGCAAACAGCCACAACAAGTGCCGCAGCAAACAAATTTAATTCTTTATTCATTTACTTTAATTATAACAACCATACCACAAGGATTGGCTAAGACTGCAGACCCTTTGCTTCGGCCTTATCTGCCTTATATTTAATTTCACCGTTTCTCACCTTGTAAGCTACCATGCCTCTGACAAGAATAGTTTTCGGCAGGGGAAATTCTTATCAATGATTTTACAACAATCTGGGTTCTATGGTGTCACTGTGACTTTGCACTTCAAATAGTAATTCCTTATCAATCAGATTTTTGATGATTGCAATTTGTTTTTATAAGTCTTTGTTTAGAAGTAATTAGAGTAATTAGAAGTAATTGGAGACAAATTATAATAGATAATTATACAAGGGCTATGTTTATTTTTGGTGGAGTGGGAATTTCATTTTCATTATTTTTCATCAGCTTTTGTTTTCTTTGCCTCTGCCGGCAACCCCTGCGAAAAACCTATGCCTCCTCCTCCCCCCCAAACAACAACAAATAGAAATTGGTTGTGCCTGCGCACATTTTGAAAATTACATTTGGAAAATACAACATTCTCGTACATTTCATGTTTTCATGTTTGTTATTCTTGTGGGTTTCTTCGTGTTTGTTGATGATACAATGACGCTGCGTCTGGCAGCTGTTGTCTGTCGTCGGTTCTGAACGGGAGTACTACTGGGAAAACTTTGCCACAGTATATCCACATCCACGCCTGGATGTCTAACGTTTTAGTTCCTACACTTCCGTTTGCCACGACCTCTGCACAATGCCCACCGATTGTTTTGGAGATCTTTTTGCAGCTTTTCAAATATTGTACGATTATGTGCAGATGAGTTCTACCTGTTTCAAGTTGAGTTCGAGCTCGAGTGGCGACGTGAACGAACTAATGGCTGATAAAACTTGGCCCACTGCTGTCGACCCATTCGCTGAGGTTCTGCTATTCGTAACTCTTTGAAAGTTGCAAACAGTATTCGTCGTGGCTCGAGTACCCTTCGCAGTCATATATCGTATGGTGCGGACTGTGTACGCAGACTCTGAACAAAAGCAGAGTAAAACGAGGGGGAACGCTGTGAGTTGCTGCTGCGACCGCAACTCTACATTTATACCCGATACATAGTCAGTATGGCTACATTGAGCGACAAAGAAAACGTCTGAACGTGTCGTCGGGCGCTGCGTAGCAACTGAAAATGTATTTGTTCCTTTTGGCTATAAAAGTGATCCGATCTGATACAGATTCGGCAATCTGGTAGATCAGGTCATTTTCTATGATTGTGCGCTTTTCATTTTCTAGTATCGTCAATATTATTTTCTTCCTTTGTGGGGGCGGACGTTTTAAAAAACACATGTAACAGTGACATATCACAGAAGTCTGGATACAAGGCTTATAGCCTCTGAGCACTAGGCGCTCATAGGGGCGGACAGACAGGCATTGCTCAATCGACTCGGCTATTGATGCTGATCATGAATATACATACATATGTATATACTTTATGGGGTCGGAAACGCTTCCCTCTCGACGTTACACACATCCAATTTCACCACAAATCTAATATACCTCTATACTCATTTTGAGTATCGGGTATAAAAATAGGGCTCTTTGCTTCTGGGTTTTCTTACAATTGTCGCACTTGTCACATCCACTTCCCTGGTCCCCTCTGGAACCCTCTTCCCATTTGCCCATTTTATCGTCAGCTTCTTTTATTGTTATGCCTGCTTCTGCGTAGAACAAGTGGAAGCTTTGTTTGACAACAACAACATCAATAGCAGCTGGTAAAAAACGTTAAGTTTACACGACTTCCAACTCCAAACCGCTGAGGGGAGCAAGAGGAGCTGCCAACGTTCTCGGGGTCGGGCAGGGTCTCCTCTGGTCGTTGTTGTTTCTTCAGTTGTGGGGTTGACATTTGACAATAAAGCAAATAATCATGGGAAAAAAGCAAAGTGCCCGAGAAGAATACCACCCCAAAGTATTATAATCGGAGGGAGGAAGATCAACAGAAGCTAGATAAAAGCATTCAAAGAATGGAAATGTAACACATGAAAGGCAAATTCAATTAAGTTTATGCTGATTTATGTGATACGTAGCAGAAACAGTCAAGCGATCTACATATGTACATCATTTGTAGTTTAGCATATATCCATATATGTACATATATGTACATGCCTGTACATATATTTATACAAAATCTAATATTTCTGATGGATACGCAGGAATCATTTAGATCATAATCTTACTGATAAAAGCAATATTCAATTGGGTCCACTCGTACACCTTTATTACAGAAACTGGCCTATCAGAAGTGACCAGACAACGACAACCATAGTTATATCACGAAAGCTTATATCATTCTTCCGCAATAATTTATTGCTGTTTTCTTATCTATTTCCATTTTTACTATTATATGTTCGATATGTTATTTACCGCCGGGAGTTACCCATAAAGCACCGCCCAAACGCGATTAGTAGTTCAGTTTGAACTTAAAAGTTAAGCGAAACTAAAGTCTTGGATTGATTGAAAGTGTCTAGCTAAAAATTTCAGTGTCAAAAGGTAGGAAATCAAAGTTAAGGATAGAGTGTTGGCCAACAGAAGGAAAATGATATGGGGACATATTTTTTTAACAGCAGTTTATTGCTTGTATTTCTGATTACTTGTCAATTAAGGAAATATAAACAACAAAATGCGCTCAAATTATATGATGATAATACAAATTTTCTTTATCTGAAAGATATATTTTTTTATAGATTCGATTTATTAGATTCGATCCAATAAAGTATACAGGTTCTTGATTCTATTAATGCTGATAAATAAAGCTCTGTCTGTCTCGTTTAACGCCTAGTTCTCAGAGACTATAAGAGCTGGAACAACCAAATTTTGCGTGCAGGCTCCTGCGATATCACACTGGATCAGGTTTGTTTCCGTAGAGAGAATGGCCGTATCTAGATCTGGATCAGATCATAATTTATTACAGCCAGAAGGAAAAAATGAAATTACAGTAGCAACTTTTATTTTAATATTTATCCCACAAACACATCGAGATTAGATGATATTTGCTTCCACTCGGTGACGCTGTCTTAAAAATATTTAAATTTAAGTTTAAAGAATATGCACTAGGGTATAGAAACTTCCATAACAGACATTTTTTCAAGAAATGCTCAAACTCAACGCCGAAATGAGTCTAAGACTCATGCCGCCAACATTTCTAAGCACCAGCAACATTTACGCCAACTTCAGCAACTTCTCTCGGGGTGTATGCGTTCTACTTTGCTGGCCATTTATTACTTTGCGGGCAGCATAATTTCTAGTCAAGCAACATTTGAGAGCGGGCGTATTTGAACCGGGCCGTGCCGCCCCGAAACTCGTGAACGTGAAACATGTTTCGGACACATTCTGTTCGCTCTTGCTCACGAACGCGTATGGTTTGAGCGTTCGGTTCGACCGGCGTTTTGAATTCCCATACAAAACGCAATCAGCGTCGAACTCGAACTCAAGAAACGCAATCACCATCAAACCATCAAACCTGAAAAAAGTAGTGGAGAAAAAATAGCAGCAGACTGAATGGCAATGTATCTCACAAATTGAACTCGGTCGCGGACAAGGAAACAACAGAGCTATGTCGAATTTTTCTCTGAATTCAAAGTCCGTTGATAATATTTTTGATAATTTCGACGAAAAGAATATCACCTAAGAACGATATAATTCAAAATCGCTAGCACTCGGTCGCGCGCGTATCGGCTATACGAAAAGATATTGCAGAGCCCCCTAGAGGGAAATATTGAACATTATATTGATTATATATTGATCAACAAAATTAAAAACTGCAGGTTGAGTTTTCGTTTTTGATTTGAATTTTTTTTTAAAGAAGTGATTTGATTTTTTTGTGTGGTGAAAAATTGTCCGAATCTCGAATTTCATCAGTTGGGGTAATTGTTCCATAAAAGGACCTATCGATCCCCTGACTTTCGATTCCGTGAACGGAATATCATATCAACAGTGAGTGCGATTCGAAGTGTCCGTAAACCGTAAAGAACTTTGCACAAAAAACAGCAACGACAACAACAATACAAGCAACAACAGCCGGAGAAGCATCATCATAGACAACGGTTGTCAGTTGTCGGTTTCCCCTCCCGCCCCGTCTCACGGTCTTCGTTTGTGCCACCCGACCGGGCTGCATACAACCAACAACATCAGTCTACACTTGATATATACAGATATATATATAGTATATACAAAATATATATAAAACAAAAACGATCGATTCTCGTGTGCGCGTGCGCGAGTGTGTGAGTGCGTGTTGCATATATAGAGCCGACTGTTGCGACGACTTTTCTATATAATCGGGTAGTACGCACACAGATACACCCATCGCATCTACAGATACAGCTGCAGATACATAAATATATATGTATATATATCTAGCCAAAGAAGAAGATATATATGCGTATAAGCTGAACGCGGCGCACTCTGCTCTGTTTTTTCTTTTATAATTACTTTTGGCTAAAATTAGAAAACGTGTGTGTTGCGCCAGTGAGTGTGAGTGTGTGTCTGCCTCACTAGCACTAGTATCTGTGTCTGGCTATATCTCTGGTACATCATCATCATCATAGACGTCGTCAGAGACGATGTCTTCTGCGGCCGTGTGTGTGCCAGAAAACACTCGTCGCCAGTGAATCAGACTAAGACTAAGACTACGACTACGACTACGGCTACGGGCTATATAGACATCGGGCGAAGATCGCGTATACGGCTAGACAAACATTATCTATCGTATATCGTGCGGCGGCGAGGATTACACTTACAACTCGGCGACGAAGACGAAGACGAAGACGAGGCCGAGACGAGCCGATCTCTCAATCTCGCGCGCGTGAAAATTCTCGTGAAGGAAAACCGCTTGTAGAAGAGTGAAGGAAAAATCCAACGCCACGCGACCTTACCTCTCTCGCTCTTTCTCTCTCTCCCTGTCTCTCGTTCAATTGGGGGGCGAGCAGCGGGGCGTGGCCGTGCGTCGACTCCAAAGCGCTCAAGTGAAACGTGTAGCTGAACAACAACAAGAATTCTAAACAAAATTTTTTTATTCAAACACATTCAAACAAATTTATCCAACACAGATAGTTTTGGCAAAGATAAAAAGAAAAACGCGACGGGCAAACAAAATGAGTCACCAGCGACAGCAACAGCAACAACAACAATATCTGTGGCATACAGAAAAGTGTTAACAAATTAATGCTACAAATAGTGAATATCAGAAGCAGTCGAAAAAAACATTCTTACCCCCAATTGCATCTCTCTCCCGAGCAATCTGTGTCTCTTTTGCCCCTGCTGTCGCTCAAAATGCTACGAAACTATCGAAAGTATTTGCAGGATAAACGGAAATACGACAAGGCACAACGAGGACGCAGCAGCAGCAGTAGCAGCAGCAGCAACATTTGTCACGTTTAAACGAGAATTGAGAAGGATATTATCAGACCAGTAGGAACCCCCTAGAAGGAGCCACTCCAGAAGCAACTGCAACGGTTAGAGCTGAGCTTTTAGCCAGAAGAGGAAGATCCTTTCAGATTTTGTACATAAAATCAGGGCAATAGCAACAACAATTTTGGAGGACGCCATGTATGCGCAACATTTGCGCAAATGGAGTCTAAAAACAAAAAAGCCACTAATGCCATTGATATTGCTAATTATCTACGTCAGCAACATGCTGCTGCCGACGACAGCAGCAGCCGCAGTGGCAGCCACACACCAACAGTTGCAACAACAACCACAGCAACAGCAGCAACAGCAGCAACAACCACAAAGATTATGGGAAGGCAGTGCAGAAGAAAGCAGCTACTATATACCACTGACTTTGGATAATGGCAGCGGGAGCAGCAGTGAAAGCGCCAAGAGTACTGGCAGTACCAGTGGCAGTGGCAGCCTCAGTAGCAGCAACATCGACAACAATATCTTAAGTAGGCTGCTCAGCCGCACCAGCAATAGTCTTAGTAGCCGTATCAATCTTAAGTTAAAGCCAGCAACAGTATTCGACGCCGGCAGCAATGCAGCTGTACAGCAACTGCAACAGCAAGAGCAACAGAAGCCACAGATGCAACAGCAGCAAGTGCCACATGCTGCTGCCGCCGTGTCAATGCAGCAGTCAATGCAAAAAGTTCCAAATACTTTAATAAATAGTCAAATATATAATTTATTAAACAATGGCAGGCCCAGCGAGGCGGCGAACAGTAAAATGCGTCGCCATATACCAACCACTCAGTTGCAACAGCAACAACAGCAGCCAAAGTTGCAACAACCTAGCTTACCGCGACCTGTAAGCAATTACAGTAGGCGAGCCACGCAAAGCTATCTCATCGAGTCCTACGAAGTGCCAGACAGCCAGATTCCGGATGAGGACAGCCCGGAGCAGGCGGCGCGCAATAGACGCGACGGCAACCAGCGGCCACATCGCTCTGGCCATCGTCAGCAGCTGCAGCAGGACAAGCGGGATCATCGCCGCCAACGTCAGCATCAACGGCAGGAGCAGAGACTGCGCCAACACCAGCCGCCCCAGCAGCAGCGGAGGAAGCATCCCCGGAAGCACAGGGGACGACAGCGGGCCGGACGCTACTGCTCGGCCCGGGATCCCGCCCAACTGGCCTACTCGGCGCCCACCGTCTTCCAGGGCGTCTTCATTTCCATGTCGGCCGACCGGCGGGTTAACTTCTCGGCCACCATGAAGGTGCTCAAGGTGTACAAGCAGCAGCGGGATCTGCAGCTGCCCCAGCTGGTCCGGCTGCAGTTCGCCCTGCGCAACGCCAGCGGCGAGTGCGACATCTACAGGGAGCGACTGCTGCCGCGGGGTGTACTCCGTTCCGGGAACGATCTGCAGCAGTCCTCCGATATATCCTACATGATGTTTGTCCAGCAAACGAATCCGGGAAACTTTACCATCCTAGGCCAGCCCGTGCGGGTCACCCACTCGGTGATGGAATCGGTCAAAATGGCTGTGAGTGAAAATTATGGTGAGTTGATTTCGATTTTAAACTGGTCTAAGATATACACCCATACGTGCATATTGTAGGGTACTCTTGAAAGGTTTCATAGAATAGAGATATTTTCCCCAGAGAAGTGTGATATTAGGAAGTAGATATATTTGTTCATATCTCCCACATAGTCCATCATTGGAGATTTTTTTTGGATCGTTGAACCCCCACACACATTAGATTACTAAGTTGAACTCGTTAAAATTTCCAACGTTTTCCAAAAAAACCCTCCGAATGATCTGCTCTTCTTGGACTCTGTCCCTCCTTGTCCCTCATTCTCTTATCGCTGGACACCTTTCTTTTGGTTTCCTCTCATTTCCTTTCTTTCACTCTGTCGCTTTTACACCCGCTGATGCAGCTGCCTCTTTCTCCGCGCTGCTGTTGTTGTTGTTTAATGAAATTTAGCTGCTTTTTTTGCTGAATTTCTTATTTGCCAACTTCACGCTCTGCTAATATGCACCAGACCGAAATAATTTTATGCAACACACATACACACACACACACACACCTACATGAACATGGATAGCGTTGCGCATGCGCCTGCCCGATGCAACTTTTTGTTGAAGCTTCTGCTGCCGTTGCAGCCGTTGTGCTCCAAGTGCAAGTCTAGGCCTCGTCTTGGTCTTCTTCTGGGATTCTTTTGTGCCTTCCCTCAATTTGGTTGCTGGGCAGCGGCAACAAAAATGCTCACATTTAGAATTTATAATACCCTTAAAGTGAGTGTTACGATTGCGGCCTTAAGACCTTAAATCCTACAATGTTATGTACTCGTAGTAAGTCCTGCTCCTGCTGCACTGGAGCGCTAAATAGACTTATGTAGATGAAAATATAACTTCAATATCATATAGAGATATGTACATATTATCTCCAAGGAGATTTACTAGATCATATGTGAATGTGTGAATGTATATATGTATGCATATGTCGCTACCATGAAGACTTCTCTAAAGGTTCTTTAAAGGGTATCCAAATCTTCGGCTTGGCTGTCCTTTCTCTGCTGATATTCGTATTGTTGCTGTTTGCTGCTGCTGTTGCTAGTTGCACATTTTAATTAAATTCGCATTAACTTTGCTCGCCCTTACCCCTCGGTTGGGAAAACTTTGAAAACTCATTTCTGGTCTCCGCAGTCTCTCCATCTCTATCTCTTCTCTTTACAGAGATCCAACTTCACATCGTCATCGTCATTGCTGTTCTTCTGCTAAGTCTTTTTGTTGTAGTCTCTGCAGTCGACCTTTGCGGTTGGGAGACGAGACCGTCCTAAGAGACCCAACCCTAAGTTCTGTTTCTGCTTCTTCCCCTTCCTTTTCCCCTTCCCCTTCCCCTTCCCCTTCGCCATCGCCTACCCCTTCTTCTTCTTCGTCTTTATCATCCAGTTGTTGTTGTAATTATTCTTACGTTGCGGTTCATGAAGTTTGCGTCTGGAAAGGCGGCTAAGTGCGATCAACCGACCGCCTGCCTCCTCCCCCGTTATGCTTCGCCTTTGCTTTGCTTTTCTTTTTATTTATTTACATTTGTCTCTCTCTCTCTTTCTCACTCACTCACTCTCTCTCTCTCTCTCTCTCTCTCTCTGATCAGTCTGTCTCTGTCCTTGTTTCATTGCGGGCGCAATTAGATTTTTAATTCATTTTTCCTCTCCCTCTCCCGTCTCTCGCCCACACTGCTGCTTCTTTTTCCTTTTTCCTCTTGCTGCGGCTGTTTCAGCTTATGCTTCTTCCGTCATGGTTCCCGCACACCGCACACCGAGAGAGAGGATGTGAGTAAGAGAGCGGGTGTGTGGCCAAGCCTGGGCTTTGTTTGCCCTCTCCACCATACTCCGTACTGCGTGCGTAGATGAGAGCTGGAATTCGGAAAGGTGCATTTAAATAAGGTGAGAAGTGTCCACTGTCCACCGCCCTGCGTCTGTTCGAAGAATGCTACTATCGCAGGAGCACCGCCTAGCAATGCCTCACCTTATCTCAATGCACTTTGCCTTCTCTTCTTCTGTTCGTACATATATTCCAGAAGCAACCCTTTGGTGATCAGAGGAGATCTGAAATCAGCTGCAATCAGCTGTTCCCTCGCGCTCCCTGGATCCCTGTCTCCCTCTCACACTCTTTGTCTTTTGGGGTTTATTATCTTGTGTTTATTTACTCTTTGCATTGCTTCTGTTTCTGCTTCCTTCTGCCTGCCCCTCCTGCTCCACTCCTTTGGATTCCTCCTATCTGCCCATCATTTGGCATCGACTGCCTGCTGCCTGGCTGCTGCTTCATCAATGAATGGGAATGGGAATGGGATGAGGAGTGCGAATGAGTGGGAAAGAATAAGAGCAGCAGAGGAATAACAGGATATTTACTTTTTGTATCGATTGATTTATTTTGCTTTGGCTTTGATTTGGCGTTGCTTTTGTTGCAAACGCAGCGAATGTTTCGGGGATTTGCATCTTGAACTGCGGGTTAAGCGGGTTTCGAAAACGTAGGGGTCGGGTCTCTATAAAAAGCGATTACTCATCGAAATGCATACTAATCAATCCCCACCCACTCAAAACGCTTCTGTAGAGATCTACTCCTTTCACTTTGGATCCGGCAAATATGCCAATTTCTTTGGTGTACCAAAGTGTTTTACATATGGGGCCATAAAGCCTGAAGATCATCAGCCAGATCGTTAAATTCTTAGCCCCCAATCAGAGCCACCAAAAGAGATCAAAAGCATCGAATAGATCAATCAAAAACTGACTCAGTTTTTGGGTTTTTGCAACCTGAAATCCATAGGTGCTATCCATAGGTGAGGGGAAGATTCGGGGGCTATTCGGGGGCGATTTACGAGTATTATCCATACGCCCCGTGTGACGACGCGCAGCTCTGCTTTCTGCTCGCGGGAGCTCTGCTTAAAACCAATTAAAATGCCTTCGAACCTGACTGAATCGGTAGTATCATGAATTAACTGGTCGCATTTTATGCCTAATTTACACCCACGCCATGAACGTCAGTTCTTACCAAATATAACTCCACACCACTCCGCTTCAATAAAACTGACTTGGAAATATAACAAAAAAAAAAACCCAAAAACAATGAAAAGGCCATGTGAAAAATAAATAAAAATCGCAGGTATTTTTGTTTTTGGTTTTCGGGCTATTATAGTTTTTTTTCCCTTTTTTTCGGACTGCTGATTGCGGCTGCTGCCGCTGCCGCCGGTGTTGTTGTTGTCGAGGTGTTAAGTAAATTAGCTGCTCATAAAACATGATTTGATCTGGCAGAAGTCCGCGTCAAAGCAGAATCGGCAGCCCATCTTCTCGGATATTTATTTGTTTGTTTGTTTGTTTGACCAAAAGCGGAGACAAACTGGCACAAATCAAATATACTCATACTCGTACCCACACGCGGAAGGTGTACGAGCATTATTCACAGATATAGATTCTTATACCCTTTCCAGATGTTTCCCATGGCAGAGCATTTCCGATCCAATGATCCAATGAAGCTCAGATATTTGTGAGGTTTCTATGCCAAATAGCTATACAGTTTTAGAGCAATCTTTCTTTCATGTTATATGATACATATTTATAAAAGTATTTGTCAGGGATAGCTGGTCTACACAACGAGTATGCGAGTATACGAGTATTTATTATATAATGCTTTCCCCTCTTATGCTGCACTAAGCATTGAATATTAATTTTGTTTTGCGGTTTGCGTCTTGTCACATTGCCAAAGCAAAATAATAATCTTTAAAAGATTTCATTGAGAAAAGCAACACCTGAGAGAAAACCCCCAGAGAACCTTGACAGCGGGTCTCCATTTCCCGCAGCAAAACTTGGATGGATAACTGGCGACTCTTGTTTCATTTGTCAGTTGGCTCTCATGCTCTCAGCTCTGGCTCTCTGGTTGCACTTGTTGCTTCTGAATACTGCTCTTATGTTTAGCAAGCGATTACAAAATGAAAATAAAGAAAATGCTTTGCCAGAGCGGAAAATGCTCTGCACTGTTCGTATATTTAGGTCAACGCCTACGAGTAGAAGCGACAAACTTACTCAACGGCACCCACAATTCATCATTTCTCCTCATCTTTTCTTTCGTTGGTGTTTTTTTTTGTCATTTTGGGGGTGTCTGGTCTACCTGGTCATAAGATTTTAATACATTTTCCTCTCGCTTTTTGAGGAAATCATGGGTAGGGGGTATGGGGCTCATTTAGCGTCACGCCAGAGAAGATCCAACGACGACAGAGACAGCTTTTCGTTAGCTTTTGTTTGTTGGTTTTTGGTTTTTTGGTTTTTTGGTAATTAAGTATGAATGGCGGCGCTAGACGACGAACCTTGGTTCATTTAGGTATAGTACTCGTAAGTGTAAAGGGTAGCCCCAGTCCCAGTCCCAGTCCCCAGTCCCAGTCGCAGTCTTCGGGTAGGGGCCCCTCTGGGATTTTGCTGGGACTGTGGTCTGCGGACTGGGGGCTGCCTGGCGGGCCGTTTGGCATGCGGGAAATAGAAAATTATAACGAAATGAAATTTTCAAATGGCATGCCATGTTTCCTTGCCCTGCCATGTCTTGCCGCGACCAGAGTCGCCTCGCGACTCGTCGGCTGCCTCGTTTATGAGTTTTATGCTATTTCTGGCCGCGCCGACAGCAGCAACATCACGCAGCTGAAAGCCATTCGAGAGTAGGAAGACATCTTGGCCGCCATAGACTTGCCAAAAAAAAAAAAAAAAAAATATACAAAAAACAAAAAAAAACCAGAGCAGAACAGAACCATCCTCTGAAAAAAGTCAATTGAATATATAAAGAAAATCTTATGCTTGTTAGCCCTGGGCCTGTAGCTGCAATTTGCATCCATTGGTTGCATCCATCGTGGCGCTAATGGAGCAATCTTGGCCGGATGGAGCAGCAGCCCAGCCGATCAATGGAGCCCCTCTGTTGCAAAGCGGATGTGACATAATCTGATTGCCATAAATACGAGGCGACTATATAGCCGAAATGGATAAAACGCCTGGCATTCATGGGGCATCAATCGAGATC